AACATGTCGTCGACAATGTTTCTGATTTCCCGTCATAAGCGGTAACATAAATATTCGTCGACGACAGTGTCAGAAACATATGTTCCCGACAAATTTTTTCTTGGTCTGGACCGAGCTTATGAACAAAGGTTCTCTTAACAATACAGGAAAAACCGTACGGAAAATTGTATACTTACCAGTCGGTTTAGCACATAATAAATTGTAATTATTGACACCGCGATAAAGGTTTGATCACAGAATAAATAACGTRTGATGACCGACGGAAACCAAAAATAAAATACTAATTACAGTTATTAGTGTGAAATATAAAATATCGGAAATAACGGAATATCGATATAGGACTCAATGGCCACTATAGTCATTACAATTTGCACAATCGATCTCTGTGCATTTAGTATCTACACATGTGCAAAATAACGCACTTGAGTATCGTCTATATTAAATTTATTGATGACGATTGGCGATCGCCTACTACCTACATAACGTGATTAACTTGTAACGTGTAAGTATGTAGTTAGACCAAAAACAAAAAAAAATAGTATAATTACATTTAAATRTTTTAATATTTTATTAAAATTAATACTACGTAGTACGTATATTTAAAATATAATATTTTACAATTTACGTTTTTCGGTTATCAATAATCGAGAATTAAGATATCAGATATTCTCCTGTGGTGGACGACGGCACGGATATAGATACTAAAAATATAAAATTTTATCAGAAAAATATCATGCTTGTCTCATGCTTAATCCATTGAGTAAATAATAATCTCTATAATTGAAACATCCAAATCTGAGAATATTCATCAATATTAATATTAAATTATTAATCGTACGTTCGTATGGAATATGGATAATAATTTTTGAATTATATTATCAAGTTTATAAGTACATTAAATTATYTAAACAAAACCCATGTGCGCTTTGGCYTTTTCATTCGAATTTTCTATACATTTTTAAGGTTATAGATAAGTGATAAGTGATTACAGAAGTTATACTTTCCGATGCCAACTTCAAGAGTTAGATCGTCATATTGTCCCGGGTACATTTGAAAYAAAAACAAAACTTTGAAAGCAGTATCTATGTGACCATTGTGAACAGATTAAGACCGGGGCTTTTTCAGGTTTTTTTTCGGGTGTGCGAAGTTTCAAGCAGGCCATCTAAAAATAGATATACATACGTATATTATGTATATTATCCTGCTTTCGATTATTTCCATACATTATAGACCGGTTATTACAATTTGATTTTAATCATATAGATAATTGTGCATTTGTGGATCGTGCATTATTTTAGGCTTTAGCAAGGGGCAGGCCAATTGTAACATTCTAAAAGTAAGGGTCGCATCCACACACCCTGACCCCCCCAAATGACGCCCCTGGATTTAGAGTTTTACCGCCCATAGACTTAAATGAGTGGATCTGACATCAGCTGAAGATCATTTAAGGAGGGGGCGAATTGGTCTCAAAGATTGATAGGTACTAACAAAAGCGTAACGAGACGTGTGATTCGTCTTGAACGCAATGGCAATTTATATTTAAATACAGATGGTCTCCAATGTGTTAAAGAAAACTATAGTTAGTAGTGTTGATATGTATTATTACTACAATAACTGTACAGTGGCGTAATGAAGGGGGGTGAGGGGGATATATCCCCCCAGAGCCTATATAATGTGTATATTTATATATTAATTTGAAGCTTATGGAATTATATGTGTTATCGTGCTGACATCACGACGAAATATTCAAATATATTAAATATAATTAATATCAGGAAATCTATAAATTATTATTTAATTTAAAAGTAAATTTTAATTCTAATATATTCAAAATTTACATTTTGAAGAAATTATTATAATATTGTATAGGTACTAAATTGTGTAGAATTTTAAAGCACATTTATTAATACATTTTGTGTACCTATATATTAGTTTAAGAATTTTTGATGAAATAGTTTTCCCAGATATTGTACTTGAAAATCTAAGTATTTTGTGTGGAAAAAAATGTTTATCCCCCCCTAAGACAAATTCCTAATTACGCCACTGTAACTGTACAATATAATAAATTGTAGTATTATATAATTCTCTAGTAAATACCATTAACATTTAGTTTGGTAATTTTGGCATATTTACTGCAGACTGCAGCATAATGCATTGCAAGTTTCCACACCACCTTAGCTTATTAAACGATGACAATGTATAATATGTCGCATTTAATGTCACATGAGGTATTGCAAGAGGCGCGTTTTTTTTATTGTGGTGTCCCCATGTAGGCCTATTCCACAAAGAGGAKAATGGGAGTGAATTGCCGGCCAACGTTAATAAGAGAAACTGAGAAACCGATGGAGATTTATCCATGTTACACAGTATTTTAGCCAATATAATAATGCATGTTAATATAAATATAAATACTTGTAGATTTAATAATGTGTCTTTTCGCTAACCGCAACTCTCCCAATGTCCCCTATATACCGTATTAAATTCAAGACGTCGATATTGTCATCGGTAGTCCTTAAAACGAGACTGACGCCAGACTCTAGAAAAAATAATAAACGTATTCTATACATAAAAAATAAATATTATATTTATATATATATTAGTTGCCTACTGAATTTAACACGGCATTCCTTATATTTCTACCTATACTACATAATTTAGATTATACTATAAATAACAAAATATGTAATAATAGCAGCTACTACATACTATATCTAGCTATATATACTATATCTATAGTAATACTATATTATACTACTTCTAGTTACTCGTTGTAAATTACAGTTAATAATATTATTTCTGGGAAAAACAAACCAACAAAAACAATAAACTTAAACAAATAAAACTATCTACCACAAAATGGCCAAACCCAGTAATCAAGCTCACACGACACGATGAAATCATGGCTACATCCAACTTGAGACATCAGGCACATTAAACTCACCACTCACACATTCCCACTTAATACATAAGGAGACCGAACGTCCGAACATAGACAAATATAAACTCCACCTCACTCAAAGAAGCATTCGGCCCCGGACAAGAAAAAAGAATAATCGACTTCGCCAAGATTGCTGAGCTCACATCAAATATATAGGACCGAGAATCAACGATAACTTCTTGCGACTAGTTGAAATTCAAAAAATAKGAAATGTTCAAAGGTTAAATTAGTTATGAAACAATTGTWAACTAATAAACTATGTATTTGAAACCTTAATAATAATTAATAAATAAAAATAAATACTATTTCTAAAAATAAATATCTAAACCTCCAGCTTACTTGATTACTACCATCATTATATCACCATAAATTGTTTTTCTTTTATCCTGCAAAGCTTTACAACGTCAGTTACATAATTTAAATTTTATTCACGTACCATTTTWAATCCGGTGCAAATTTTTTAAATATAACCATGTAGGTAGCTTGATTTGTATATTTAGAAAAGGTATCGTAATATAGATACGTCTGAATTATAATCGTGTCTTATTATGATATATTTTTTTATCTGAAAAACAATTCCCTACAAAACCTGAATGAGAAAACATTAAAATAAATTTTCGTAAAACGACTATTTAAATATTTAAACAAAAAATTGACTCTGAAAGCATTGAATAAAAATATTAGATTCATGTTTGAAAGTCTGAATATAATTAAAAATAACAATGTACAAAATTACAATAACCGAGTCACAAAACACTCAACGAAATAAACATACTATATTATTATATAGTACTTTCGTCGTAATAACTATAGGTAATGAAAATATGTGTAGTAGCCAGCATACAGTTTTTAATCTGTTTACTTAATTCCAGCCAACATAATAATAAAATAAGTTGGTTTAATTGTTAAATAGATGATAAATCAAAACTGCCGCACTATTATCAGCTGTATCGAATTTTATTATTATAATATTATACCTAAACACAGTATATAGACTATAGTTGCTTGTTACTGTCTCTCACTAATTATCGTGAATATCGTCGTTATTACTTTGTAATGGCCAGAGTTAATGATGTTTTAGCTTATTTTTATTAATACATTATTATTTGATATACAAGTATTTTTTTTTCCATAATGGATATTTTAAAGTAATTTTCTTGAACATTTTAATGTTAGGTACCTTTAAATTTTATAACGGATCAATACACTCTAARTGTTAAGCTAACGGAGCTAAATGGGAACTGCTGAGCGTTAAACTTGCCATGTTATGCACTTGTAARACGGAAATAATACATACGGGTGTGGAGCCCTCTTAAACATTTAGCGATTTTAAATAATTGAAAATGCAGTCCTTGGGTATTTTAAAAAATACCAAAAATTAGAAATCGAATAATAATATTTGGGGTAGGCCCTTGGTAAATAACCTTGTATATAACTGACTAACTGAGCGGCGAAGCGATAGGCCTATGAGGTCGATTTTGACGAAGATTCGTTATTTTTTTAGTACTTACCAACCTAACGATGGATTGTAAATAACATATTATGTTTTAGTTTCACTATTGTACAAAGCTTTGTATCAGACTATTWAACTAAATCCTAAGGTTAACRATTTAACCTTAGCCCTTAGGCTCGGACCATACATTATTTGTTATCTACATTGTATTATAATAATACAATGTATCCAAATCATATAATAATTATATGAATTGGATTATAAACAAAATAAAATAACTAGGTACCTATGTCACTAAGAGTCCCACCACTGCCTATAATATGCAAGAACTACAAAACRTTCCAGAGACACGATATCCAGTTTTCTGATGGACAAATAGATGAAAAAATGTTATATTGCTAGAAATAAATATTAATAACCACAGAAATAAGATTATTAGGTACTATAATGTACTTTTGTAAACATTCGCTAATATATCTATAGGTACCCATGTACAATAATAGACTAATACTTCAATGGATATCATGTMAATAATAAATATAATTTTCATACTATATAAATCTATTGTGAGCCTTGAACACAATTTATAAGAAAATATTGCAAAACTTTAGCAGAGGTAATTTTTCTCAGATCAATTAGACAATTACCACCCCAGTTATCAAAAGTCCAGACATCAATGCCTCTGGCGCTTTTCTTTATGACTGGAYCTCTTTCATAGTTAGTATTTATTTGGAATTCTTATACAATAAATTATGAWTTATGAAATGTAATATCAATGTAGTAGGTAACACTTTCACCTCTTCAAACGCTCTAGCCTTTCACTAAATTATTTCATCTATAAATTTAAAAGTAACTAAGAAAATTTTCTTATTAACTGTTTTATATATAAACCATGTACAATATGTATTTATTTTTTAACAAATCAAATTTTAGTTTATATGCCAGACTAAAAATGATTTCATATTATTCATTTTAAGGTTAATTGCTCCACTTGCATAATGAATTGAATCATTAAGTGTCTATATCCTTCACAGTTGTCTTAAATTTAATGTTAATAATGATAAATGTTATTTTATTATATTTTTAAGCAAAAATAACTATAACTATAACTATAACTATATTTTTTAAAATTTTCTTCCCTTACCAACACTCATAAGAAAGACCTTTCATGTTCACATTCTTTTTCTGATCTATATCGTCATAAATCCAATGTTTAAGTAGTTGAGCCTTTATCTACATTAAATCGCTTAAGATGTAACACATGGCACTAGTTCAGCTAGTATTAGAATATGGTTTAATTATTTGGAATTCATTTCAACCGATTCTTAATAAAACTTAAACAATGTAGTATGTATGAAATAACATTTTATGCTATTTAAATTATAATTTATTGCCGGCTGGCTAGGTCTCCCGCTCAACATCCCGTGTAAGGAAACT